TACTTCATCTTGTTCGCCTTGTTATTGGCTTGCACCGCAAACCTGGTACCTAGAGCTGTGGATTTGGGAAAAGTTTACAAATTTTTCACAGATGAAAGCAAGGGAAGAGTCATTGCTGTTTACATCGCCTTGGTAGGAATTGTTTGTTTGTTTGTTTTTTGTTTTTGCTACCTAATAACTCGCTAACCAGCGGCGTAGCTACTTGTACGCACAGTACGCACGTTAGCCTCCCACGCAGACGTTCTTAGGGGTTCCTCACGCGTTCCTGCCCCAGGAACACGTGAGCAACCTTTAAGAACGACTACGTAGGGGGCTATACGCACGTGCGTGTCTTAAAAAGTCGATCTTCGCAGAAAAGTTGATCTTATTTTATTTTATTTATTTATTTTATTATTTTGCCACACACAATTAAGATAGAAAAGATAATAAATAGTTAATTACTATTAAATTTAAAATGATCATACAACTCGGAAGGAGTGACTGTGGCGGGTAAATCTCCGAGAAGCAGAGCTTATGAGGAAAAAGTAAAGAAAAAGGATGTGCATTTTAAGTATATAGTGTGCTTAGAGAAAAATGTAGATATAAGGTGTTAAGGTATTTAGGTTGTATCTTGTCTGACCCTCTTGCTGCTTCAGCAACTCTTTCACTAGTTTAAGGGGCATTTGGACATCGTCTTCCTCAAAATTTCCACGTTTTGAATCAGAGGACGTCTTTGAGCGTGTTGCCACCATGATTATGCAAATATTTTTCCTATCTTCGCAGTATGATAAAAATATAAAGCGAATTATCTAAAAAAGCACAATATTCCTCAATTCATTTAACTGTGCCTGTTTAATTCTTTGAAATATTTTTTCTAAAAAAACGTATTTTTTTCTTTTTTACACCCGAATGTCGGTTTTCAGAGAAGAAACAAACAAGTGATTTATTGGTGGAGCGAGATATTTTAGAGAAAAGACGGGGAAAAGCGCGAATATTATATCAATAGCTCAGTTCAAGTTGGATGTATGAAGCATGAACACGTTGTTGTAAGGGGTGGGGTTTTTTTTGGGGGGGGGGGGGCGTGGGTTGGGGTATTTGGGAAGTGGTGCATACTTTTGGAAAAATCTTGGCAACGCGCCCGCTAACGTTAGGTAAAACATTAAGCCGATGAGCACTGAAGACCGATCGAACCACTGCTATTAGACTCGAAGGGCCACTTATCGCAAGCTTAAAACCCACTTCCTTAAGTTCCTATTTAGCTAAAAGAAATATTTTTATTCCAAGAAAGTAACACCACCACTACCTCAACAGAGGCAACATAGAGCTTTTAAGAAGGAAAACATCCTTCTCGGCAATCGCCCAAAGATTTCCCAATAAAATTTCAATGAGATTTTCTTAACATCCTTACGTGTCCTTTTGCTTTACAGGCCTTTGGCTTTATTTCCTGTATTTTGTTCGTCGTGGATATGGTATTGAATTATAGGTTATTTCAGACACAGAGAGCGCAGGAGCTTCCCGGCCCTGCTTCGCAAGCCGGACCCCCCCCAGAGAAGAGTTTGGGATATTAACAGGGAATACCTCAAATCGCCAGTGTTCTACGTCAAATTGGCAGAATTGGTAAGTCGGTTTTAATACCTTCATACAAGGGAGATAGATCCATGCCCAAGAGATATAAGAAATATAAACATAAATAACAAAACAGCAAAGACAAAAGCAACTGGAGATTTCCCGATAGAAGAAACGTTGTGCTCTCATTTGCCGTCACTAAAGGTGACTTTTTGTACTATCAAATCCCAAGAAATGTAGTTAAGAAATTGCACTATAAAACCTTCATCTCTCCAATACACCATTCTCCAATATCCTCCTCCCTGGGTGTTTAAGGCCAAAATGATTAATAATAATTAATGACAATGATAATGATATCCCAAGAAATTACTGAATCAACTTGACACTCCTTGTGTACGGATAATAGAGCCCGGCCGTTTCCCTCATCCAAAAGGAAAAATTAAGGAAATCTTGGGTAACTTCCCCTACCTAGCTTTCCCCTCGTTCTCGACGAAATGATTTTAATCATATAATCCCTTTATAGGTCGGCCTTGAACTGGTGTAATAAAGGATGTCCACGAAAAACTCGATCAAACTTGTACTTTCATGTTGTCTTGCTCAAAGAGAAAAAACAAACCAACAAACACCGTACCACAAATAAAAAGCAGACGTTTATTTGGTAACACTACACATGACTAATAATTTTCAAAAAAATACGGTACTGAAAGTAATTCAAAGAAAGTCATTTGACTTTGCTGCGTTTTACTTCTTACAAGGCCTTACTGTTTGGAGCGTGGGTGTGCATCTTGAAATATTTCGACATGGATTTAATAAGACAAGCTGAAGCTGCTTCCTCCAGTGGTACATCATCTTCAACTCTTGATCTTTCAAAAGAAGAATTCTTCAGAGGAATCACTATTTTCGACTGGGTGATGGTCATCCTCTTGGCTCTGATATCTATATTCAGTTTTGACAAGATCAGCAGTCGTTCCTCACCTTGGACCCTGACGGTAAGTGATCATGACTACTTACCCCTCCCCCAGTGTCATCTCCTTACTCAGCCCTAACCTCCAACGCGGTCAAACGCTTGAGGCGTCTTCCTTAAGTAGGTTGAGTTTGATCGTTCGAGTGAACGTAGTCCTGAATAGGACTGTTGTTGTTGACAGTGACTGACGTTTCGACAACCTGTGCATGCGGTAGTTATCTTCAGAGTCAAAGTGACTTGTATCACGTCAGTTGATGGTATTAATAAACTCTGGTTATTGACCTGATTGGTCAATTGGTCGCTATGTTATTGGTCGTCTGTCAGTTAAGCCGTGGTGTTATTTTACATTGGCTATGAAGACTGCTCGTAATATCTTTCCATTGTTCTCAAAGTATTAAGCCACATTTTGTTGAAAACGTTCGCGACCAAGTAAAACAATACCGGAAAATGGTCCCGAGGAAAACACTTGTTTCAGTTTTCAAACACTCGGAACTTGTGAAAGAAAAGAAAGTTTAGTAAATTGACAGCGTATTTGTGAACTGGAAATCATAAACTTTCAACACTGAAAATAGCAACCTTGACTAAGAGGTACTTTGCTTAGCTTTTGTAAATTAATTTGGTTTGACCGCGTTGAGCTGTGAAGCCCTAACGCCAATGAGACAAATACTTCTCCTGTTAACTTCTCATTCCGCTCCCTTCTTCAAACATGCGCACTTTATTCTCAGTTGTGATTGTCTTATTCAGGCGCGGGTCAGCGCCAAAGGCGGAAGTTCTAGGGGGACTGGTCCGTGGGCATGCGCGCTCCCTCTGGAAACTTTTTGGGTTTTAACTCCCAAAGGTCCCCTTTCCTGGGTTCCTGAGTTTTTCAGACAGGATATTGGCAAGATTTCAACTTGGAAAGTCTTTTTTTTTTATTAAAAATATATTTATTCATGAAAAATCTGACCTATTTTTGTAAAACGGTGGAAACCGGTTGGGTCCGCGCCTGATTATTCGTCATGATTACCCACATTTACAATTATGAGTCTATTTTTGAAAACTATGATAAGTCTCTAACTTTAGATTCATGCATATACTCTGTGGATAGACCAATGAGATCGGCGGTTGGCTAATTCAATAGTATAATCTGATCCGCATCCTCCCTTTCTGTAGGTTTTTTTGTTTTACATTTTCCTGGCCATCTTGCTGATTGCTTCCTGTGGAAACCTCGCTCCTCTTGTGGTGGACTTAGCAAAGGACTACATATATGTGTATCCCGATGAGAAGAAGCAGTACTATCTTGCTCTGTTTATTGGCCTGGTAAGTAACCGGTTAAACGCGATTAATACCATCTTGGCTCTAAATTAGTATATTGACAGCACCTATCTAATCATCATTTGAGCCCCCTGATCAAAAGATTTTTCCACATTAGCATTCATTATCACCGTCATCATAATCATCATCATTATTTATAATTACCATCATCATTATCTTAATAGTTCATAGTTCTTGTTTGTCATTACTTTTCGTATGGCTAGATGGATGAGCGGGATACAACTTTACACCTAATGTTCACCAAAGGTCGGAGTTGTCTATTTGGTGGTCGAGCCTCGATGGTTTTAGATTTTTTCATAGCTGCACAAATTTATAATTTCATTGCTACTGGCTCCAAGAACAGAATTTACGCAGTCACCCTAAGTTAGGATATAGCTGTTAAGAGATTTTCTCATGTAAAAATAAGTTATTTACAATACAGCAGAGGTCATAAAAACCTCATCTTTACAGGTATCAAGTGAACGTTCCTGTTTGCAGCAACTCATCAGCGTTATTGCAGTTCCAGATGGCGTCAGCTAATGTGAAGTTCGACAAAAGGACTTTGAGATATCCCGAGATATTTTTATAGCTAATAAGACTTAAAAATACGACCAAATCCAAGGAAAAAATAATGACACATTGTTCGACTCATCTGAATAATAAATTGTTGAGGTTCTACATACACCGATGAAGTTAATGTTTTGCAATTTAAATCCAGATCTCGTTTTTCAACAGGGCTTGGGCTTCATCGCCTGGATAATATTCATCGTGGATATTACTTTTCTGTACAAGTTGTACCGTCAACAACGAATGCAAGAATTGCCGCTTCAACAGGTGCCAGCAGGCCAAACAGTCGTCCAACCTGGTGTGGTCATAATGCCCCCACAGGCACAGGGAGGGCAACAGACAGCCTTTCAACCGTCTGCTCATCCGGGCCAACATGTGGTGCAATATCCGGAACAACGTCCCCCTCCTTTTTACACCCCACACCCTTAAGAACCGACTCAGAAAGAAAAGGCTGCCTACCAGCTTCATTTTGGTACATTCTAGGTAGCCGTATTATAGCTGCACGTATTTAGTGCTTTATTGCATGGTAGGTCATGATACTAAGTATCAGACAGTGAGTAGCGCATATTTTTCGTTTTAAAGACTTAAAAGACAGGAATACCTGTGTACGCATTTGAACAAAAAAGTTATA